CGCCGCCCGCGCCGCGCGCCCTCCCCGGTACGGCCCCAGTGAGCGGGGCTCCGGGCAGCGTGCCCCGGCGGGGAGGGCGCGGGACCGGAGGGCGCCGGGCGGGGCGCGCTCCAACTTGGCCGGCCAGACAGCGCCCGCCGCTCGCCCCGCCCCGGAGAGAGGGAAACTCGGGGCGGGGGCTGGAGGGGGCGGGCCGAGGCGACTTCCCGGAGCGGCGGAACCGCTGAGGTCACCCTCGCCGCCCCTTCCCGGCCCGCCCCGCCTCGCCCAGCCGGGGCCGGCGAGCCGCCAGCTGGGGCACCGGGGTGGGAGGGGATGAGGGGCGCGGCGGGGGAGGGGGGCTCTCTCGCGATATTTGCCGCCTGGCCCTGGGCGTCTACCCCACCCCACGGGGTCCCAACCGCGCCCCTCTGCTAAGGAACCCCTTCCGAGGACCCGCTCCTCTCCGGGCCCGCGCTGGGGCTGTCACCCGAGGGCGCACTTCGCGGGGCGCTGGCCGTGGGAGGAAGGAGGGGACACATGGAGGGGGTCGTAAATTTTGAAAAGATGAGGCGCCTTCTTCGTTGAAAGCCTCTTATTAAATTGGAGTCAATTTGGCTGGTGCCTTCTTCCAAACACTTAAGCGGGATCTCCAAGGCAGAGTCCACAACAGGGGACTCCCACCCTGTCAGCGGAGCCTAGTGCAACCTCTGCGGGGGGCCAGGCGCCCTGAGCTCTGTGTCCCAGAGCCCCAGGGACAGGGCACGTTTCTGCAGACGTGACGGATAGGCCGACAAACGCCTGTCGGATGTAGGCCCAAGTGCCCCGGAGTCCAGCGCAGGCAGAGAAGTCTTTAGGGAGGGGGAGACCCTGCAGGGGGGCGGAGTTGGCATCCTGGGGGCAAGGTGCAAGAGCACCCTGAAGGTGTCAGGGTACACCTAGGTCTGCCGGGAGAAGGAAATAACCTGAGTGAAATAGAAAGCGATGATTTTGGAGAAGTTGGGGCCCCAGGGGTGGGGGAGACTTTGGCTGGCAGTCTCTTCCCAGGGCAATGATCTAAAGGGGCTGCCCTTGATGGAGCAGAGTCGAGGCACTGAGCACTGCTCAGCATCCTTTCCCAGCAATGGAGCTAGCCAGATGCTTTCATCATTACACCCGTTTGCTGTGGGGTGGGGGTAGTGAGGGAAGGGCCCACCGCCATGCAGCGGCCATAGGGCAGGCAGTAAGTCCCTGAACCGGGATTCGAATCCCGACAGTCTCCTGAATTCCCACCTGCACTGCCCGAAGCCCCAGAGATGGAGGCTGGGCTGGGGAGAGGGTGGGGGGCAGGTGGAAAGGAGGCCTGGACTAGGGGTTACAGAGGGTGGGACCTCAGGCTGCAGGAGGAGTGGGGAGGCCTCCAGCCCAGCTCCTCAGGAGGAGGGAGCAGCCCCGGGGGATGGGGGCCCCGGGGGGATGGTGTAAGCCCCCCAGGGGTCCTAGTCAAATCCTCGGGTTGGAGACCTGAGGAGGGGCCCAGCACAACTGGTATCTCAAGTCTGTGGGAAGGAAAGCCACATTTTTATACTAAAACATTATTCCTTCGTCATTTGAAGTTCACACCTGATTGGACATCCTGCATTTTTCTTTCCTAAATCTGGCCAGCACCCTGGGAACCCTGAACTCACACTGCACTCAGCCACTGAGACTGCCCTGGCTCCTAAGGTCCATCCACTCTGTACAACATCGCCCCCCGCCTCAAGGAGGGCCAGCCCCCCTCGCCCAGGCCCCCAGCAGGAGGAGCCGGATTCAGGTCAGGTCAGAGTGAACCCTGATGGACTGCCCCCAGGGGTCCTGTCTGGCTTACAGCCTGCCCGCTGTCCCCTCCCAAGCTCAGACACAACACTAGACCTCCTTGAACCTTGAAATCCTCATCCGCAAAGTGGGAGGTTAACTATAGGGCCCTGGGGTTCCCACTGTGTTCCCCCAGAGAGCCCTCCCTGGCTCCTCCCCCATTTCTGTCTTTGTTCCCAGGGCCCCACCCCCGACAGCAGTCTTCACTGACCACCCCAGTCAAGAGCCCCCCAGGCCCACCTTTTCCTTTCTCCCCCTGAGCCTTCTCTACAGCATTCCCCAGGTCCCGAGACTGCGCGACCTCAAGGTTTTCCCGCTGTCTCCTTGATGCTAAGAAGTTGGCTGGGCACAAAATGGGCGTTCAGTACATGTCTTGAGTGAACGCAGTGGCTTCTGTGAGGGATGTCCAACCAAATCCTGACTGCTCCGGGGCGCCTACCTGTCCAGTGTTGTTTCCCCGGGTCAGGCCCCAGAGGCCACGGAGGCAGGGAGGGAGGCCGGCCATCCTGGGGCTTTGGGCAGACAGCTCCCCCGGCGGGCCAGAGTGAGGCCCTGGGGCAGGCAGAGTGTCCTGGCCTGCCCTGCCTGGCTAGTGGGACAAAGCTCTCCTTGGGGCCCTGACCAAGGCTGTGGGGCGTGGAGAGGGGCCGAAGCAGGTTAGGACACTGCCTGCGGAAGCCTGGGAGGCCCGCCCAGGTAGGGATGAGCTAGAGGAGGAGGGACTTCACTGCTGGGAGTGGGAAGGCCTGGGTTAAGTGCCCCTGTCCCACCCCCCACTCCCCAGGAGGGGCTGTCCCAGGCAGCCCCGGGAAGGCACTTGGGAGAGGCCCCCCCCCCCGCCCCCCTGCCCTCGGATCCCCTCTCTGGCCCGTCGCGGTCTCGGGCACGGGGATGACAGGAGGCCACCGCAGTGGTGCAGGCAGAGCCTCTGTGGACGCAGCTGGCCGGGCGGCCATCTGGCTGGGGAGCTGCCCCCGGGCCCCGCCCTACAGCTGCTGCTGAGACCTGGGGGCGGGGGGGGGGGGCTGCTGGCCTGCGAGTCCGCCCGATGGCTGGCAGCTGCAGAAGGTGACAGGGCCCGAGGCCTCTGAGCTCCGGGGGTGGAGGGGAGGCAGCCACCCTCCTGGAGACTGCTACAGCAGTTTTTGTTGGAAACATCTGGCAAGGGGCTCCCCAGAGGCCCCAGTGTTGGCTGGGGCAGGCTGACAGGATTGGGTCCCCATCTTGCCATTCTCTCTGAGGTGCAGAGGGGGTGTTCTTGAGGGAAGCAGAGGAGAGGCCAGAGGAGGAGAGGGTTGGCCCTGCCTGCGGGGCTGCCCCAGTCCCAGGGCAGGCCCACACAGAGGCGCAGACGGGACCAGGGGTTGCGGAGATGGGGCGTGGGGCTTGCGGCAGGTCTCCCGCACTTGGCGGGCACCAGAGCTCCACACAGAACAGGCAGGGAGGCCTCCTGGACACAGGCCAGCGGCCAATCAGCCAGGAGGTTTTGGACCACCTCGATGCAGCCTCCTGGCCAAGATGCCTTTCCTCAAATGGCCACGGGGCTCCAGCGAGGCCACATCTTCCATGAGAGGGTGCCCTCCCAGACCCCGCCCCCCCCGCCCCCATTCTCTTCTTGTCCTGGGCCTTCTCCACAGCCCTGCCGGGCCAGGATGGGGGCAGGTATGGACACTCTTCCTGGGAGGGCAGTGGGTGGGTGGGACAGCCCCTGAGGGGCCCCAGGGGCCCACCCGGAAGGTTCGCAGGGTGAGGGATGGACAGATCCGGGACATCTGGCAGCTGAGCCTCAGGGCCGGTGTTGGGTCCCAGAAGCGTGGATGACTGACTGGTCCAGGCCTCTCCCTCCGCCCCCTGGAGGCAAAGCCCTGCCTGGGGGTACTCAGTCAGAGCTGAGAGTGCTGGGCTGGGTTGGGGAGAGAGGCAGCGGGGCCAAGGGGAGGAACTGGCAGTCACTTCCCCCTGAGCAGGGGAGAGTCCTTCCCTGAGGAGTATAATTCTGCCCCTCAGCCCCAAGAAGTCTGGCAGGAGCCCCAGTTTTTGGGTGTAGATGCTTTGCTCGCCGCTCAGCTGGGCTGCCTCTGCCCCAGATGAAGTATCTATACCTCCCAGGCTGAACTCTGACCCAGGATGAACAAAAATGCCCCTCTCCCCCACAAAATACACACCTGACTCCAGGACGGTAACTCTCAGGAGTCTTCCTTTTACAAAAGGATTACTATCAACTTGGAGGCCTCAGGGATGGGGGGAGGGGCCGCTGTTGGAGAAACTTTTGGCTCTAGCTGAGCCCTGGGCCCAGGGAGGGGTCAGGGCTGGGGAGTCATCTGCAGCGCCCTGGGAATCTGTAGGTGGAGGGGGCTGGGGTCCTTCTGCCTTGTCAGCCTCTCAGCCTCACAGCCCCCACTCCCTCAGGTGGACAGCAGGGAGGGGCCTGGGATGCCTCTGTTCTGACAGCCCTTCTCTGGAGTCTGAACCCCCTCTGGGTGTGTCCAGCTCAGGGCAGGCAACCCAGGCCCGGTGTGCCCAATGAAGCCGAGGACCTGGGGGATGCCCAGCCACGGTCCCTGTGGCCCTCTGCTGCTTCTGTCACCATGTGAAGTCTCCCATCTGCTTTCGTAGAGCTGCTCTTGTCTTTCCTAGGGGCAAGGGGAAGGTCTTGGAAGCCCCTCTCTGGGGATGGAGGGCCCTGCCCAGGGCCAGGTGGTCCTGCAGCACAGGGGCCTGTGACCCCTTCCTCCAGAGCCTTCCCTCTCCTGGGTGCATTCCAGCCAGCCTTCCGGCCGGGCCCGCTCACACCTGACCTCCACCTAGCCTCCTGCATGCGCCCCAGGACTACT